TAATGCAACCAGTTATGAAAACAATAGGTCACTCTAAATGAGTACAAGAGCTTTGATGTCAGTCAAATACATTTATTCACGTAAAAGGTGAGGTCTTTATACATTCAGCTATCAAATCATAATCTCATTTTTGTACACAAGCTATGTGCAATAGATGCTTCCATACGAAAAAAAACCTTCAAAATACATAGCCCAACACTATAGTTACTTGTTATATTTTCAGGAAGTTCCCATCACGTACCAAAAGATAAAAACTCAGAAAACACTGTAACAACTACGATACGAGTACAACAACACAGCAAGGACAAATTTCTTTCAGTAAAAGCTTTGATGTGTTCAGAACTAACAGCTGGTTTGCTTTACTGAGTTACATAAAACACAGGCTATCAAGTGATGGGCGTTTCTCTGAAATATCTGTTGGGTGTTAGAAACTTTTGTATGTAATAACAATTAGTTATTGAATTATAAACCAATCCACAGTGTGATTATTTTGGGCGTCTACTGTTGATGCCATGAGTTACAGTCAGTATTTATGAACGTTCAATTTTAATTTATTACTCTACACTCGTGAACTAGCGTCCCCAGCATAGATTTCCTCCTCCTCTTCATTTGCATCCGCACTAGGAGCCTCTTCTTCAGGGGCCATGACGTATTCAGCCTTTTTGTTCCCTTCGACCACGTGTTCGTCTACGAAAACTGCCCGGATGTTGGAGCCTGGAGCATCAAACATGGGTTCCAAGAGCAAATTCTCCTGTAGAGCGAACAAGGAAAGTCAGTTGTACAACAGGGTCAGTCGTTATTTGATGGATAACGCTATCCATCGAAAGGTCAATATCCAGCAACAAATCAACTACGCTAGTAATCCTATATCTGGATGGTGATTTTCCTGATGGATCGAGTTTACCACAGGGATCCATATTGGTTTTTCCTCCAAGTCGTCGGTCGGGTAAGTATGCCAGATGACATATTTACCCGTAAGAAAACTGCAAATCTCTCTCTGCGTTCTTAAAGTTTCAAATGGATGACAAGTGGTCACAATGCAGGGAACTCATAAGAAAATTTAAGAATTTTTGTTTCCTTTTTTCTGGTACAGTCAAACTTAACTCGTCTAGCGGACGAGTTTTCGTATTGTTTTGGTCGTCCCTGCGAATTTTTAGTCGTCACGGACGACCGCACGACTGCGAATATGGATCCCTGTAACCATCAATTGACCAACAAGCTCAATGTCAACAGACAGCTAGAGACACCTCCATATAACAGAAAGTTCACTTGCTGCCAGAAAAATCAGAATTCATATGATCTCCATCTACCTTCACATACGGACACCTTTGCACCCATTTATAGTGCTTATCCTAAAAGGACTAGTTTTCAAAGGACACTAACTTTTTAAAATAGCAAGAAACAGTTTCAAGCTCATTTAACTCGTCGCATAGTATCACCAACCGCAGCAATTTTTTCTCTTTTTCATATCATCAAGGGACACACCACACGTTGTAACACTTTAATAGACAATTAAAAGCAAAGTTTTTCTGGTTCATGTGTGGCTCAAGACATGCATATTGGCTGAGACGGATAAATGAGTTGGTTGATGGAATATTTATGGAGAAGTCTAGTTAAACAACGTTTCTAAAGGCTGGTTTTCACAGGGGCATAAGCACAAGCACAAGCATTAACATAAGCACAAGAAAAACGAACAGTTCTGTTTTTCTCGTGCTTATGCTTATGCTTATGTCGAGCGCGTTACTAGTGAAAACTGCACAAGACAAATAAGTAGGTTCGTTGTTCTCATGTTTCTGCTTATGCTTATGTTTATGTCGCGGCTGTTTTCCCTTGTGCTTATGCTTATGCCCTTGCTTGTGCTTATGCTCTAGTGAAAACCAGCCTTAACGATTTGTTGGTTAACACTGGGTTTGTTCTTCTAATCAGCTATATCCTCTGCCCGCGTGACAACAGACTGTAACGCAATGAAGAATGATAGTGTCCAGAGCTGCACAGATTATTCGGACCGTCAAGCGACACAGCTGTATCACGTGATCCCCCAGATAACGGCTGCCATGGCGACAACTCACAAACATTGCTTTAAAAATTCGCATTTATCCAGTGGTATTCGTTCAGTAGAAATAAGGGACTTGGTTTGTAACAGGTTACATTGTGTACATACCAATATGGCTCTCAATCCACGAGCTCCTGTCTTCTTTTCCAAAGCTTTTTTGGCGATTAGCTTTAAGGCATCAGGACTGAGATTGAGTTCAACCTGCATAAAGAAAGAGCTCAGATTTGACACAGACTCTAGATTTAGCATGAAACTGAATTCGATAATCGCAAACTGTCAGAAGTCTCATACCACCCACTATGGACAAGTTACTGACTACTTGTTAACAGAGAGTGAGGTCTTTACTGCAAAATCTCAAACCGAGACCTTGCCGGATGGCGAGGTCAATACGGCAAAGCCGAGTTTTTAGATTTACCCGTTAAGACCGAACGTTCGAGGTTAAAATGTTGTTTATTATATGGCTTTTTACTTTGTTTTTTGCAGGCTCGTAATCGGCCCGTGGGCATTATGGGAGAAAAATGCCCTTGAATTAGCCAATCAGAGCGTGCGTTATATCAGCTACTAACACAAGCCAGACCACGAGTCTCTGGCAACAAATGGCGGGCAAGAGTTTCCGGCCCTTTTCCAACAATTCTTGGTTTTCACCAGACGTCACGGCGGCCATGTTGGAGCCCCGAAACAAAGAAACGACGGCCATGTTGGAGCCCAAAATTTAACCTCAGGGAATTCAACTCTATTTTTAGGTAAATCTTTTCTTTGTTTCGGTGAGAAAACACGGCTGTTGATCACGTGAGTGAAAACCAAGAATAATCGAGTCTATAACAAAATTCTCGATCGTAATTGACTCTCCGCGCGTATTTGTCACGTAATCGGCGCGCGATCACGTGAATGTCCAATTACAGGTATCCAATTTGAACTTTTTGCATTTGGATACCCACGTGATTCGCACGTCAATTACGCGCGCTTTAATAGTTTCTTTCGTAATTTTTTCTACAGTTTTCAAAACTTATGAATAGGGCTACAGACGTTTTCACTCAAAAAAAGTTCTTAAAAGACATTTTTAATTCCAAAATTTGATATAGATACGATTAATTAGTTACTGGACCTCGTGTCGTACAATTCATAATGATAATAGAACCGAGTGGAGTTTAGTTCGGTCTGTAGTCATACGAGTGATTAACAAAATCGGACGACCGCGAAGCGGGAGTCCGATTTGTTGATCACGAGTATGATTACAGAATGAATTGGACGACGCGAAGCCCTGTTACCAATTAATCGAAACTATGACAAAATTCGAGAAACGAACAAACCATCGATTGAGCGCTGAACGATTTTAAAACGTTGTTATGAATGCTGAAAAACACAGTTTACTCAACAAAGTGCACCGCAATAGCGCGCGCAAAATGACGCGTACTGTCCAATTACAAGCATGACGCGTA